CCCTCCCCTCACTTCACGGTTCTGAGCTGAACTCTTCTCCGCTCCTGCTCCAAGTGGCACCGTTTGAAGCACCTGAAGTCTTCAATTCTCTGTTGTCCAACTAAGGACAATCAATCAATCAATCAATCAATCAATCAATCAATCAATCAATCAATCCATTTTTTTATTAAAGTCAACGGGACTGTCTTTTTGACATTTTGATCGCTGTTGTTATTTTGACAAATTAGCGCCGATGTTTTGAAACGTGACGTAAAATGTGAATAACACATCAAACATTTCTCTCCTTGTATTTTTAATTTATTTTTTACTGTAAGCTTTTTTTATTTATTATGTCTGACATGTAGCAGGAGTTCAGACACCTGCTGATGTGTGCACACGCTGTTGTCTGGAGACGTTTCTGTGCGTAACGTGCACCGTCCTGCAGGGCATTTATTTATTCTGTTGAATAATTGATCGTTTCTGTTTCAGGGTCTGAGAGGAGGAGAGGGGGTGTTTTCAGTGCTCAGCCACTGAGTAGGGACAATATTTGGAGAGGAGGAGGACAGAAGGTCTCCGTGCTTAAATGTGACCGTCTGTCCCTCCGTCCTCATCCCCGGCTCCTCTCCTGCTCCTCGACGGAGTGTGTAACTGTGCGCCGTGTGTGCTGCAGCTGGAACATCCACAGACTGGGTCCGCCGGGCTAAAGGCAACGTCTCCTCATTGTATTTTAAATAAATAATCTAAATAAAATGCGCAATGTCTTTGGACTTTTAGGGGCGGAGCTGCAGGATCTGAACACAGAGTTGTCAAAACAGAACGGGTCCAAATGAGAGAGTTCCCGGATCTTGTTCCAGCAGGATCCGGCTCAAATTAACCCCTGGCTGGGGGGTTGTTGTTTCAGGGACACGTTGTCTCAAACTTTACTGAGCTTCATCTTGTCACTCTCAACATGTTCTATCGAGTGAAAACGTGGAACAAGTTAATGTTCCCACCGCTAGTTGGAGCGACTCTCCGTCACATTTTGCAGCACAAACCTGCAGTTTATCGGATCTTAGAAAGCCGAACCACTTCCACACCTCCGAATGAGTCGTTCCTCTCTAATCAGTGATGTCATCTTCTGTCTCTTTGCTTGTGAAAGTTTGTTCAGTCACATTCTGACGGTCGTGGGCGCTCCTTTTCAAGAGAAAACTTAACACATGTTGGAGATTAGCCTAGCCTGCTACCACTAGCACCTTCTGGACTCGAGCTCTGCGTAACATCTACGTCACCGCACACTTACGTAGTTGTGTCACACCTTTTTCTGTCCGGGTTGAAACTGAAGCGGCTGCTTCAACCCAAACAGAAAAAATAAATGCGTCTGAAATGCTGTAATCCTATCGAAACATCGAAAATGTGCTAAAAACTCATATCACCGTTATTGAATAAAAGTATATTGTGATATATATCGATATCGAATTATTGTCCAGCACTAATTTATTGATATTTTTACAATTTAAGACAAACAAAAAGACCAGATTATTGTAAAGAGGGGTGATTTTTATTTATTTATTAAAAAAAAAAAAAAAACTATGAACTGCAAAACTATGTTATTTTTTTTAATTGTGGGAAAAAATAAAGCAAAAAGTTAAAGTGAGTATTTGCAAAAGAAATGAAAGCTGCTAAAACTAGTACTTTTTTTGTTGCTTGTATAACAATCAATAAAATTCAGTTTTTAGTTTTGGAAAGAGCCGCTGCAGAGGGACCCAACGTGGCTCCAGAGCCGCAGGTTGCAGAGCCCTGGTCTAACAGATGTTGTCTAACATCCTTCTACCAATATACCCACTGTCCCTCCTCTGGACATGTCCAAACAGCCTGGTCTCTCTAACTTTATCTCCCAGTTGTTCAACCGGTGCTGATGATGTCATCCCTAATCTAATCCATCCTTGTCACTTGCATGTCACTGTACCTGTAGTAGTCCAGTCATTTGGCAGCTCTTTCTTACCACTCAGAGTCTTTAACAACTTTAACTCTTCACATTCTTCCTTCTTCAGCTTCCATCATTTAATCTTCACAACAAGTCTACACCCAACCATCGATGCTGTCTGGCCACGCTCTCCCCTGCCACAACCTTACACTCTTCAATCTCCCTCAGGTTTCTTCTTCTACACAGAATGTACTGTAAGTATCTGTGTTTCCTGCTTTAGTAAATCATGTCCTCATGTTCCTAATCAGGGTCGAGGTACTGAGACACTGAAGTTTGGTTTTTAATCGTCTGTAAGCCATAAACTAGGGATGCACAATATTATCAGCATGGTATCATTATCGGCTGATAATTGCGTTAAAATTAAATATCGGACAAGGGCCATGCCATCAAAATAACTCACTGATATAAAAGGCGCTGTTTTTGTATGTAAACCCAGTGACAAGAATGCCTGCAGCGACAGCACGACTTGTTGGGTGAGTTTTACCACAGAAATTTGGACGTCAAGTGTTAGCATGATTAGTCTTACGGCTCAGTGGACAGACAAAAACTTTTAAAAGTCTGTCCTTCATGCACAGGAATGCAGAAGATCTCACACTGCAGCTATAGAAACCTGGAACAAACCTCCACGAGTGAGACAGCATCGCAGGTGACTAATGCTAATGAATAACATTTAACACTTTTCATTTAATATAAGTTAAAGTGATATGTATATCATATGGCTGTTACTGAATATATGTCACCAGCTCTTACAGCTGTTACACAATTTTTGTAGCAAATAAGCCAAAATAAGAGGAATATGTTCTGACAAAGGAAAGTATATAAAATATCAGTTATCGGACGAATAAGTTTTAACATATCGGCCAAAAATCCAATACCGTGCACCCCTACCATAAACATCAAAATTACAAGGCTTGAAATATTTCAGTCTGTGCAATGAATCTATGAAATATATACGTTTCTTTTTCTGAACTGACTAACAACAAACAGTTAACTTTTTCTTGATATTCTAATCTTTTTAGATGCACCTGTGTGTTTTCATGTGTTTACATCAGTAGCAGCAGCACTCTGCAGCAAACAGGTGGAGGAGAACATTTGAAGAGCTGTGTCCACGAAAGAGGAACAAGCGATAAAGTAATACCTTTAATTGCATTTAAACATAATTTAACTTTACCTGTGAGTTCAAGTTGCCCACATAAACCGTTCTCCTAATTTCATCCAGTTTGGAGGGATCGACATTTCCAGTGAGCGGAGGCTGGGCGAGCAGAGAAGCTGCAGCATCGAAACCAACGGTAATTCGATTCACCAAGGGGAGGTTCAGCTGTAGGTGGAAAACACGCACCGGCTGTGTTGGTCTGCGTGACTGCAGATACACGGTTTAAAGAAGTAATCACAGCGACTCACATTCTGAAGTGGAGCTGGATTAGGAATCGGCAGCAATCCTCCTCCAGGAATCAGACTGGGTACCGGGGTGGCAGGTGCCAGTAGAGACAGAGCCTTGGCCTCTTCTGGAATTTTCCCTGCAGGACAAAACAAATATTAGTGAAGGCAAAGGAGGCACTCTTCCGTCTGCCTCCTCTATGTGTGCACAATTAACCCACTGTATTCTAGAGAAAAAGAGAGCATACACTTCCCCAGACAGTCTACATATTCTAGTCTACTGGAGACCGAACATCCTTACTGGCTTTTATTTAATTTTTCTTCTCGGTCAATATGTATTATTAATATGAAGTGAAAAGAATCTAAACTTTTTCTCAAAAAAAAAAAAAAAAAAGAACAATGATTATGTTGCTCTCAGTTTAAAAAAAAAAAAGAAACAGTGCAGAGAATGAGTCAACACTTTGATGTATGGGTCACCTGTACTGGAAACATATTGGTCATGAACCGTACGATATCAAGCATGGGCGCTTTTCCGTGGGGCGATCGTTTCGCAGTGTTGGAAAGGTGTGCAACACAAGACAACCCCAATGGCTGCATCACTAATAGCACACAGGACATCAGATACAGAAAAGAACAACAAATTTAAGAACTTTGGAAATGTTAGCTCAAACTTGGCTAAATAAAAAGAAAACCAATTAGGAATTTTGCTCATTTCCACAATGGAATATAATCTTCATCCTTGTTGGAGAAGACAAGAAAAAGGCTACAAATCTGAGTACAGCTGCAGGGATTTAGCACAAGTTGTAATTTCTGCAACATAAATGACGCAAGTAACCATCTTTCAAAATAAAGCATAATGAATGCAAAGCATTAATGCATATGTTAGGATGACAAAATGATGCTATACTGATCGGTGTCATTGCTAAATACTAAACATCAGAGCAGTTCTGAACGGCTCAGTTCTAAAGAAGCCTTTTACTGGTCTTGTGTACAGATGGGTGCACATGTAGTTCAGATCTTTACGCTCAGTTATTTGGACTCGTTATTACAACCAGACTAGTGAAGCGGTTTACTTCAACTGGTGCAGAAGACAAAAGAACAACAGTTAGTTATCCTCCTAGCATCTCTTGTGTGACCTACATCCCACCGATATGCCGTAGCAACCTGGACAGAATTCAATCACATACATGCTGCCGCTGTAGCAAAAGAGAGAGGGGGGTAGGGGTTGGACAGTAATCAAAATAACAAACAAAAATAACAAATACAAATACGCTAGAGATAAGCAAACCTTCAGTTTCTAGATAGAGACAGTAGAGAGTGGACAACATGGGATAGTATGAAAGGAAACAAACTAAAAATAAATAAAAATAAACAAATAAAAGAGACAAGGTGTCCATCTTGGAAGGATCAGCGGGCTATTCTCCGGTCACATTCCCCCTTGAAGGCTGCGTTGGCCCGATCGGGGATAGTGGCTTGGAAAACAATGCCTGACTCAGGCTAGTGTAGTGTAACAGCTGGGCCAGTCTAGTCATCTGATATGCACACATAATCACACAGAAAAAAACATACAAAACCAAATTAATAAACTCAGTAGCCATCCAGCACCAAGTCACGTGGACACAATGCATCAGGTTAGAGGTGATATTAATGCGAGTGCACACAAGGGAGGTTTTCAAATGGAGCACCGAAAACAAAAATGAAAGGAAGGACTGAGTTCACTGTGTCGCGATGAATTTGATTTTTGAAAAGTCACAAATATGGACACACAGGCTACTGCTTTCACAGTCCAGTGTGTTTTAATGAGGCTGCTCTCCTTCAGGCTCGTGTTCTCAGTCTGAACCACCCTGTGACAACAAGAAAAGCCTTGGCTGGGTGCTGTGAGAACTTAGCTAACAACCCATCACCTGGGTGGAACATACATGTGATGGACTAAAAAAGGTGTGCACACACAAAACCCTGCAACTCAAACTGAGACACCGAGGAAATCAACCCAGAGCAAGACATAACATAAAGTATAAACCATCATGTTCAACCCAAACCCCAACACTCACCTTCAGCGCATGGGACCACAATGAGAGCTCTGTCAATAAACACAGTGTTGGTGAGATGCTGCGCCACACCAACACTTGAAGGCTCTCGGTACTTTACGTAACACACTTTGGACGAGAACGACAGAGAGGCGTTGCTGTGAGGAGAAACAAACAAACAAAAAAACTGATTATTTATCTGCTAAACCGGGTTTGTAGGCGAAGCGACAAGGCCGCAGGTCCGCGGTGTTGCTTGGCTAGGCACAGCCGGAAGAGAAGCGCTTACTCGGGGGGGTAGAGACGCAGCTCCTCGATGTCTCCCAGGAAGCCGAACAGAGCGCGCATCTGCTCGCTGCTGACAGCCGACGATAGGTTGGTCACCTGGACGACGGCAGTCCCTGGTATCCCGCTCATTGTAGAAAACTATAACCACGTTGTTAATTGCTCGATGTGATGTTTACACTATATTTACTAATGTTGTCCCTGTCGGAACAGAAGACAAGCTAGGAGGCTTCACTCTTCTTCTTGACGCAGAGCAGCTGCAGACACTCCGCTCTGAGGCGCATCGTCGCCCCCTACAGGCAGAACTCGTCCACTGCAGAAAAGGGCACAAAGTTCTGGAGAACTTTAGAAATATCTGAGTCATGTGTACAAAACCTCACAACATGTCAAGTTTTCTTTATAGGTTCGTTCAGCTTTTTACAGCTTCTGCTTCTGTTTAGCTTTTTTAGGCTTGTTCAGCTGTTTTTGCCAGTGAGGATTATCAACTATACAGGTTCGTCTCACTGAGTCACAACGACTCATTTACAAGAGAGACCTGTTTTAAACAAAGAACACTGACGAGGTACAGACAACACTAGACAGTCATGTAAAAACATGTAAATTGAAAAGTAAATCAAATAAATTATATAAAAAAGCTAAACAAAAACAGCTACATTATAAAGTGATGCAATGTCTGCGTTGCTTTTTGCCACGAACCTAGCAGGAAATTCAAGCAGAGGCTGCCTGACCCAAAATAAGTGTGTTATATGAATTTAAGCTTCCCCACTCCCTTGAATTGGCCAGCTAGCTCAACTTCTCCAGGTTGTTTATGTGAACAAGAAGCTCCACACCCCATCACCCATCACTCCCCTCCCGAGGACACCTGTGGATCTGTGTCAGAGCTGAGCCGGCTGATAGACGCCGTACCATCTTTATCAGGACTATGGAACTTTCTGATGGTCTCCACGGACGACTCACTGCCCTTGTCGGCTTCCTCGTGCATAAATGTATTAAATGTATCATGATGTCATCAGTAAGTTGCTGCTTCATTTGCTGAGGTCATTTTTTTTCACACACATGAAAAACACATGATACATATCTGCAAAATAACAGTGCGTGGATCAGGTCTCCAAAAAGCTATTTAAAGCTTATAGACAAAGCCTGGGTACATCCATCCATCCATTATCTTTACCCGCTTATTCCATTTTGGGTCACGGGGGTTGCCGGTGCCCATGTCCAGCAATCACTGTGCGAGGAGCGGGGGACACCCTGGATGGGTCGCAAGTCCATCACAGGGACACATAGAGACAAACGAGACAACCAACCATTCACTCTCTCACTCACACCTAGAGACAATTTAGAGTTACCAATCAGCATAACATGCATGTTTTTGGTCTGTGGGAGGAAACTGGAGTACCCGGAGAAAACCCACGCATGCACGGAGAGAACATGCAAACTCCACCCAGAAAGGCCCCTGGACCGGGGTTTGAACCAAGGACCTGCTCGCTGAGAGGCAGCAGCTCGACCAGTTGCACCACCGTGCTGCGCCTGGGTACATACTGCATACAAATTATAACATATTAAAATAACAACACAATAAAAAATCAACTTTCACACTGTGTCCCGTCTAGGACACAGTGTGAGATTATTATTTTTTTTAACACCTACACTCGTGGGTTTTTTTTTCTCCTTATCTTAAAAAAAGGGCTGCGCCTCCCGAGGCTGGCGGCCTCAGTCACTTCCGTCTTCCCATATCTGTTTGTTTATGTTTCTCTCAGACGGGCTGTACTGAAATGTAATTTTGCTGCGCTTCGGTGCAATGACAATAAAGCTGATTTGATTCTGTGTTGTTTAAAATCACTTAGAGAGGTCGAAGTCGACAACTTCAGATCTTTTTGCAAGGTGATCCAGAAAACAGGAGCAGAGTAAGAAAAGGCCTTTTTGCCTAGTTCAGTCCTCAATGAGGGAACACTGCAGGTAATAATGTCCTGAGAGCGCACGCTGTAGCTGCACTCATGCAATGACATGTAGGAGGAGATGTATGAAGGCAGCAGACCAAGAAGTGATTTAAAGATGAAAATGTACCAGTGAGAGAGTCTGTGTGAAGTTAATTGTTTCATTTAACTTTATTTGTACAGGATAGTCTCATTGAGCCTCGAGGACTCATTTACAAGAGAGACCTGTTAATGTCCAGTTAACCAGTGAATACTGGGTGCAGTGATGGGTACAGTGGTTACAGCCAGTTATGAATCTTAGTGCACCATGACAGACAGCATCCAACATCTGCAGGGTGCTTGCAGGAGTGTTCATGTAAATAAATGTGGATCACCATAAATCAGGCTCACCTGCCTTGCTTCTTTTCAAGAATGGGTTTGATGCAACCTTTTAGCAGCTTTAGAACTTGTGGTTGCTCTGCTGTTAGCTACTCCTCTGCTAATTTCAGCTGTTTTGTGCTTCTTTTGGTTTCCTTCTGCTAAGTTGAACTTATTCATTCATTTTTCCCCATCTACTGTCTACCAATTTAAACTTTCTGTGCTCCAGTCAGGTTTTTTCAGTCTCAACAATGATCTCTGCTGATTTCAAGGTCATGCAGACAAATGTCAAGGTCAAAGATCATCCCTTAAAAAACTTTGATTAATTCGGCTCCCTGTCAAATCCAGAATAGAATTCAAAATCTAACTTCTAACCTACAAAAGCTCCCAACAACCTAGCTCCATCTTACATTACAGATTATTGTTCTATATTTTCCTAACGGAGTACGTTACTCTCAAACTTCAGATTACTTGTGGTTCCTAGAGTTTCCAAAAGTAGAATGGGAGGAAGATCTTTTAGTTATCAGGCTCCTCTCTTGTGGAACCAACTTCCAATCTCTGTCCGTGAGGCTGACACATTGTCCAGTTTTAAGATTAGGTTTGTTTCCTGTTTGATAAATCCTGTATTAGGGTCGGTTGAGTATCCTGATCTGTCCCTTAGTTATGCTGCTATAGGCTTAGACTGCTGAAGGACAAATAAACCAGGTTTCCTCTCTCCGTTGCTGTCTTTACTTGCTCTACTCCAATTATTTCTACCCTCAACAGGTTTTTTTTATCTTTCCTCCCATAGAACTTGGACCTGTCATTCTATGTTCGTCTGTCTCTCCTTCCTGTCCTCTCAAACCAGCCAGACGAAGCAGATGGCCGCTTGTCCTGAGCCTGGTTCTGCTGGAGGCTTCTTCCTGTTAAAATGGAACTTTTTTCTTTCCACTGTTGCCACTGTGCTTGCTCAGGACGTCAGACTGTGATGATGCAGTGAGTCTGCTGGCTTCGTTAACTTTATGTGAATGTTTTTTTTAGTGCCCTGTAACAACTTCTGTTGTGACTATTGGTGCTTTATAAATTGACAGAATTGAAGGTTAACATGTCAAACTTCACAGCTGGACAGCTCATGGATCAACCATCTGTACCTGTATATTGATCTGAAAGTCAGAGTTAAAGGTCAAATGTTACTTACCTTTGTCTGAAGAGCTTTCAAATAACCTAAAACTCAGACATGTCAAACTGCACAGCTAGACCTCTCATGGATCAGTGATTATTAACGTCATGGGGTAAGGTCAAGGTATCATGTAGTCTCTTCTTTGCTTTTTCACCTTCTTATGGCTATCTACAGCTGTTATTTTGTTCCGTTCAGCTTTTCCTGCTTCTTTAAACTTCTTTTAATTTCAGCATTTTGTGCTCTGTACAGTATTTTTCAGCTTCTTCAGCTGTGTGTTTACAATTGACCTAATTTTTAAAGCTTTTTATACAACAAATTGTGAATAAAAACTGAATGCAATGATGTGGAGGTGCCAACATCAAATATTTTATTCAGAATAGAACACAAATCACAGATCAAAAGTTAAAACTGAGAGAATGTATCATTTTAAGGGAAAAATCTGTTGTTTCCAAATTTCATGGCGTCAACAAATCCCAAAAAAGTTGGGACAAGTCCATTTTTACCACTGTGTGGCATCCCCCCTTCTTCTTACAACACTCAACAGACGTCTGGGGACAGAGGAGACCAGTTTCTCAAGTTTAGAAATAGGAATGCTCTCCCATTCATGTCTAATACAGGCCTCTAACTGTTCAATCGTCTTGGGCCTTCTTTGTCGCACCTTCCTCTTTATGATGCGCCAAATGTTCTCTATAGGTGAAAGATCTGGACTGCAGGCTGGCCATTTCAGTACCCGGATCTTTCTCCTACGTAGCCATGATGTTGTGATTGCTGCAGAATGTGGTCTGGCATTATCGTGTTGAAAAATGCAGGGTCTTCCCTGAAAGAGATGACGTCTAGATGGGAGCATATGTTGTTCTAGAACCTGAACATAGTTCTCTGCATTAATGGTGCCTTTCCAGACATGCAAGCTGCCCATGCCACAAGCGCTCATGTAACCCCATACCATCAGTGATGCAGGCTTCTGAACGGAGCGTTGATAACAACTTGGACTATCCTTGTCCTCTCTGGTCCGGATGACATGGCGTCCCAGTGTTCCATAAAGAACTTCAAATCGTGACTCATCTGACCACAGAACAGTCTTCCATTTTGCCACACTCCATTTTAAATGACCCCTGGCCCAGTGCAAACGTCTGAGCTTGTGGAGCTTGCTTAGAAATGGCTTCCTCTTTGCACTGTAGAGTTTCAGCTGGCAACAACAGATGGCACGGTGGATTGTGTTCACAGACGATGCTTTCTGGAAGTATTCCTGAGCCCATTCTGTTATTTCCTTGACAGTGGCATTCCTGTTTGAGGTGCAGTGACGTTTAAGGGCCCGGAGATCACGAGTATCCAGTAGAGTTTTACGGCCTTGACCCTTACGCACAGCGATTGTTCCAGATTCTCTGAATCTTTTGATGATGTTATGCACGGTTGATGATGATAACTTAAAAGTCTTTGCTATTTTACGCTGGGTAACACCATTCTGGTATTGTTGCACTATCTTTCTGCGCAACAATGGTGGAATTGGTGATTCTCTTACCATCTTGTCTTCTGAGAGACACTGACACTCTGAGAAGTTCTTTTTATACCCAATCATGTTGTCAATTGACCTAATTAGTGTTAATTGGTCTTCCAGCTGTTCGTTATATGCTCAATTTCCTTTTCCCAGCCACTTATTACTACTTGTCCCAACTTTTTTGGGATTTGTTGACACTGTGAAATTTTGAATCAACATATTTGTCCTTTAAAATGTTACATTTACTCAGATTAAACTTTTGATCTGTCATCTATGTTATATTATGAATAAAATATTGACATTTGCCATCTCCACATCATTGCATTCAGTTTTTATTCACATTTTGTTTAGTGTCCTAACTTTTTTGGAATCCAGCTTGTACACATGGCATTTCTCTCGTTTCCCACGTTGTTTCCTGCTTTCAGTAAATGTCAGCCATTTAAATTCAACTTGCATTTACACTTTGGACACTTTTCAGCTTGATTTCAGCTTTTTTGAGCAAAGACTGGACCATTTTACATGTTCTGATACAACTTCTGATGTTTTTATTCCCTTTTTTCTGATTAAGATTATAACTTAAAACAAGTAAATACATTTTCTGCAACGTTAATTGTTGTCAGAGCACTAAGTTAAATGATACAAAACTCTCTGATGTGTCAGAAAATGATCCCGAGTTTGTTACAAAAAGTTGCTTCAGACTGATTAATCTCTTACTGAGCTCAGTCAACTTCAAATCTGGTGTCTTCCATCAAAATAAACCCAAATGACGAAGATTCACTGTTAAACAGCAATAGTTTATTTTCCACAGGTAACTTCTCAAACAGGTAATTATGTACAAAATCTGGAATGTTGGATAAATGCCTATCAATCATCACACTGTGACCAGAAACCTTAGAAATACTAACTATACATTTGAATCGGGTGCCTCTGCTGTTCAGTTTATTGTTGGTTTTACAATTATAACAAAGGTCATTGTTATTTCTTATATTTTGTAGAGTATTTACAAGTTCATTGGTAAGGTCTAAAATCATCAATAGGTCTGCTAAATAAATATAAACCAAGTGGGAAGTTAATAAACATGAAGAAATGGTAAAATCATTTATCTCCCTAGATTGTCTAGAATGTTAAGACATTTTTTGTCACGATTATAAAGTGATCAAAACCCCACAAACTCCATAATCTCAAGAAAAACAGAACAGGAATATTAAAATAACAAACAATAATTTGCACATTAAAGATGTCTAAGAATTTTAGTCAGTTTCACAATAATTCAGCTTCTTTTAGAAACAAGTTTATTACTGAAATTCTCTGTAGTCTCCACAGTGTCGTTACGTCGATGAGCCACGAGAATCGAATTTGAGTCGAACTCTGTTACCAACACAATCTACAGCCAACAAGGAGGCTACTTGTTCAGTTACTGCTGAATAAAATATACATTTTTTGATTATTTTTAGGTTTAAGTGGTCACAAAGATGCAGCTGGAATTTCTGGGGCCATCACTTTAGATGTAAATTTGATCATTTCCATATTTTAGAAACACGTCCCTCAGCTGTTCTGCTGTGACTGATTATCCACAGGTGGAGGAATATTAAAAAACACCCAGATTGTTGTTTTTTCAAAAGCCTAGTCAACTGGATTATTTTTTTGTCACAGTAGAAATGATTAAACACATATGAACATCAACAAATCTAATATTAAAGACAGCAAAATGTCTCAGGCAAAGAAAAAAATACCAATTTTTTACACAATGCAGAGTATTTTTTTTTTGTCTTTAACCACATGTAGCATACATATTTACCCCTGTGCCATTTCATTACAAAAAAAGATATAAAAACCTTGTAAAATCATTGAGAAGTACTAAAAGGGTTGTGTCACATTTTAAAAAGGATGTTTGGTGAATGAAAATAAAGGCTTTGAGTATTGCTTTTAAGCCGTTCTGCTGCAAACGTATTCAAACGGTTGTGAATGTGAGTATTGCTCTGGTTCTGGGGTGCAAATGTTCTTCCCCCTGTTCAAACAGTTCATGGTCTATGGCACTTATAAAAAATTTGCTCCTCCTGTTTTTGTTCTCTGTATAGAGGAAAAAAAAAAACTTGCACCAAAGAGATGAGTTCCAAGAAGAATAAAACATTTTAACGATATAAAAGGCAACCCATGGTCTCTTCCATGTTAAAAAAGAAACAGATGTTAAAAACCGTTCATTGCATCGATGGCGACCTAAAAGAGAAAATCACAAATAAAACTCGATTCAAATCTTTCTTTAGTTTGTTCCCCTGCTTTTGCCTCGTTTCATTTTTCATGCTCACTTTGGTTGAACAGCATAACTCCCACATTGATTTCTTCTTTGAACGTTTCAGAAAAATGATTGTTAAACAATTTAATTTAGAATAAATCTCTAAACCTGATGAAAACACCTTAAATTACAGCGTAAGACGAAGTTTTATTGGCCCCAATTTTAATCTGCGTTTGAAAACCGTTTGAAACTCCCCACAGTCCCTAGATTTTTAATAGTCCTGCCTCTTCACATGCAGCGCAGCTCTTCATCATCTGAGAAGGTCAAAATATGAAAAGTGGCACAGGCCTGACGGTGCCGAGCAGCTGGGCTGGACTCGGTGTTTCGATGCGCTGGTGGATCTTCACAGGCTGAAGGAAGCAGGTTGGGATGATTCTCTCATTGCAGGAGAAATAAACCAAAAAGTGCTGCCTTGATCTACATTCGTTCCCCCCACGAGAAGCACATAACACTGTCCCTCCAGATGAGATCACATGGCTATTTAAAAAAAACAGTTTCAACAACTGGGACAAAACAAAAGGTCCAAAAACAAAAAGGCAAAATGGAGGACAGAAGAGAAGGAGTCCTGCCCCTTGGTTGCCACCTTCATGTCCAACTGCAGAAATAAAACCCAACTCTAGATCAGTGGTTAAGTTGGAGACTTTACAAAGAAAAGTTTATCTTTACAGAAACCACAGTAATCTCTTCTAATCTTCAGGTTCTTTGTATAAAAATAGAAATATGCCACAGTGACAGCCTTTTGAAGACACGCTGCTGTCTCACTAAGATCCACTACATTCAGTGGTCTTCCCCCGTTGAAGCAACACACACCTCTGAGGACCTCAGCTAGAAACAGTCCCAGCAGGTGTCAGCAAATCACGCTCTGTGTATAAAAATATGACAACCAACATACAATTTCTTTGTTCTTCTTTCATGTGCTCATTGACCCCTGCACCCCCCCCACCCCCCCAGTCCCCCAGTCTATGCCTGCACTTCTCGTATGATTGTTAAATCCACAGTGGTTGGAAATGTCTTCAGCAGGGACACGGCTTTCCCGTGATCAATGTCCACAAAGTTGTATCCATTTGCCTGAAATGAAAATAAAAGAACAGAACAGAGTTTATTGGCATTTGTTAGTCTTTATGCTTTTAATGTGTTGGTGTACAACACTTTGGTCAACGGTGTTGTTTGTAAAGTGCTTTATAAATAAAGTTGTATTGTATTTGTACAGTTAAGAAATACAAAAAGATACATAGAAATTATTGTGCAAATTTCTTCCAGTCAAACAATTTAAAATCTAAAAGTAAAAAATAAACAAGATAAAACAGAGAAACATAATCAGAAACAAACAAAATAAAACAATAAAAGCCTGGGAACATGGAACAACAACAGACACACAAAGTGCATGAAGTTATTTTTCCTGAGGGGTGATGAATATTTGTGATGGTTTGATGTTTGAGAGGGCAGCAGTGTGTGGGAGAAAGATGTCCGATGGGTTCTGGTGTGTATGGTTAGGGGGAAGTGGAGTACCCACTCCATGTCCTGTGCTACCAGTCTGACAGTGGCTGGAAAGAAGCTGTTGTGGAAGAGGGTCGTTTGTGTCGGGGGTTGTATTCGTTCCAATGTGTCTACAACGATAGTCTATGTGGTGAAGGATCCACTTATCCAGGTATTTCAGAGCTGCTGATGTGAGGGCTACTGGTCCGAGTCATTCTTGGTGGTTACCGGTACATTGGACTTTTTTGGAATTAGCACTATGACAACAGACCTGAAAGTGCGAGGGACTGTTTCCTGTGCCAGGGAGGTGTTAAAGATGTCAGTATACACCTCTGCCAGCTGCTCTGCACAGGATTTCAAGATGCACAACCTTTTGGGGGTTTACCTGCCTCAGAGCTCTGAGAACTTGTGTGCACATCATCTGGACTACAGTCATCTGTGTGTCACAAAAGTCTTTGGTTGAACCTAGTGTTAACAGCTGTTGAACTTGTGTGACAGAATGTCATCATGAATTGTAGTTCTGTTATTACCCTTGTAGTTTGTTATTGACTTGATTCACTCCCACAGGCTTATGTTATTTTCCCTGTGACAGCCCTCAAGTCTCTGGATGCATGTCCTCTTGTCAGCACTAATAGATGTTTGGAGCCCATATCTGGCATACTTATACTTTATGATTGATTGTGGTTTTAATGCATAGATCCCTACTGAACCACGGCTTTTGGTTGGAGAAATACTCAAATTGTGCAGAATGAGATACAGACGGAGGTACCAGTCTATTGACGCTTTGCAATTGGTAAGTGAGGCTCCATTCAGCTTTCGTCTTATCAGTTTTTCTCAGGTGTAGGTGATTTGCCACTGTGACTTGATTCCCCATGCTATGGGCAGGATCGTAACCGGTCTGTTCGAGCCATTCTGATCCGTTAATATCCTCAAACACCCTATAATCAGACTTGAATTTCTTTAGCTTATCCCAGCACTGCTTATAAGTCCGGGTGTAACCATGCTGCACAATCATCTTCGTTATCTCTCTGTAAATGGGCTCATTTCTTGTGGCACCATCTGTCCACACAATGAGGAAGTGGAGGTTCAGATGTAGTTTGCAGTTTTGCTGGGCGGGTCATCCAGTGAAAGGAAGACCTTGACATGTAGCTCCACTGGCCAATCAATGGTTACAGTCTGCTTATGTAAAAATCAGCACCTCAGAGCAGTTCACTTGGAACAACAAATAAGGTGATCCCATAAACCAGGCTGAGTGGGGGTGGGTACTGGCAGAGGGCAGGCCCTTAACTGCCATGTCATGCAGAGCCGATGAGATTTGAGGCAGTAGCAAAGCGCCAAATGTAGCTACTGACAGTGTCTGTGTATTTGTGTTTTGTTGGGGCAGGTGGCTGAGTGGTTAGAGCAGTCGTCCTCCAATGCAAAAGTTGGGGGTTCGATTCCACCAGCAGTCACATGCTGAAGTGTCCCTGGGCAAGACACTGCACCCCTCATTGACTCCCATGTGTGTCCCATCATATGAATGTGATAAAGCACTGATTGTTCTATGTATGGATCTAGTAGAGTGCTGTATGAATGTGTAAATGAGGCACAGATTGTGTTGTAAAGCACTGAGTATACCATTTACCATTTGTTGTTTGTGTTTCCGGGCCTCTATTGTCGAGGCGGCTTAACTGAGCTGCAGCCGCAAGGTTGTCGGTGCCTGTCACGGCGGCAACCCTCGAACCCGGTGGTGGACACAGTCGGTGAGGGATGCTGTAAGGCTGAAGAAGGAGTCCTATCGGTTTGGCCTGTGGAACCCCGGAAGCAGCTGATGAGTATCAGCAGTCCAAGCGACATGTGGCTCAGGTGGTCGCTGAGGCAAAAACTCAGGCATGGGAGGAGTTCAGAGAGGCCATGGAGAATGACTTCTGCACGGCTTCGAGGCGATTCTGGTCCACCATCCGGCGTCTCGGGGGGGAAGCGGTACACCACCAACGCTGTTTATAGTGGGGATAGTGTTCTGCTGACCTCAACTCGGGATGTCGTGGGTCGGTGGGCAGAATACTTTGAAGACCTCCTCAATCCCACTGGCACGTCTTCCACTGAGGAAGCAGAGCCTGGGGACTCTGGGTCGGGCCCTCCAATCTCTGGTGCTGAGGTCACCGAGGTGGTTAAAAAGCGTCTCGGTGGCAGGGCCCCAGGGGTGGAAGAGATTCGCCTGGAGTTCCTTAAGGCTCTGGATGTTGTAGGGTTGTGATGGCTTACGCAACTCTGCAATATTGCGTGGACATTGGGGGAAGTTCCCCTGGATTGGCAGACCGGGGTGGTGGCCCCCCAATTCAAAAAGGGGGACCGCAGAGTGTGTTCCAACTACAGGGGGATCACGCTCTTAAGCCTCCCTTGTTAAGGTCTATTTGGGGGTTCTGGAGAGGAGGGTCCGTCGGATAGTCGAACCTCGGATTCAGGAGGAGCAGTGCGGTTTTTGTCCTGGTCGTGGAACACCGGACCAGCTCTACACTCTCAGCAGGGTTCTGGAGGGTGTGTGGGAGTTTGCCCAACCGGTCTACATGTGCTTTGTGGACTTGGTTAAGGTATTTGACCGCGTCCCTCGGGGAACCTTGTGGTGGGTACTCTGGGAGTATGGGGTACCGGGTCCTTTGATACGGGCTGTTAGGTCCCTGTATGACCGGTGTCAGAGCCTGGTCCGCAATGCCGGCAGTAAGTCGGGCTTGTTCCTGGTGAGAGTTGGACTCCGCCAAGGTTGCCCTTTGTCACAGATTCTGTTCATAACTTTTATAGACAGAATTTCTAGGCACAGCCAAGGTGTTGAGAGGATCCGTTTTGGTGGCCTTAGGATTGTGTCTCTGCTTTTTGCAGATGATGTGGTCCTATTGGCTTCATCAGATCTTGATCTATAGCATTTTTGATGTCGGTCCCGGGGGTCGAACCAGCGGCGACGTTCCAATCGTAGGCTCGCTTTCTCTATCCTCTGTGCCAAGACTAACATTTTTATTGGTGGTGCCAGAAAATTCTAATACTTTATTTTCACCTACTTGTACATCCAACTACAATGCAGGATTGGACCATTGTTTAAATTTGTGAAGAGGTGAGTGGTCATGTACCGTATGTATCATATATGTTCCACCCTCACGTGTTTTACCGTACTTCACTAAGTGGTCAGCTCTGTAAACACTGTAGCCTGCCGGTGTTATCGGAGGTCCTCTCACCGAGCTACATGTTGCAAAAAGACAAAACTTTGTAGTCCTGGATGTACAGTATCGCTGTGCAGCCGTTCGACTGAGTAACTCATCCATCTTGTTAACCAGACGAAGAGGATGGAAGAAAGCATTGCTACATCTGCTATGTTTTTGTGCCCCCC